TTTTTATTTTATGTCCATGAGTATATTGCTTGCATGTAGGTAAGTGCACTCATGCCGTGCAGTGCCTGCAGAGGTCAGAAGAGGCTGTCGGATCCCCTGGAACTGGAGTTACGGACAGTTGTTAGCTGCCATGTGGGTGCTGGGATTCGAACCTGGGTCTTCTGCAAGAACAGTTAGTGTTCTTAATCACTGAGCCATCTCTCCAGCCCCAGGAAAAACTATTCTTTAAAAGATCCACCTGCCTCTGCCTCCAACGGGCTGAGATGAAAGGCGTGCAGCACCACACCTGACATTTTTCCCATTTTTGTTGGTGTCACAAAGGAGAACAGCTTTTTCAGAGGGAACGAGGAGGAAGAGCAGGCGAGCACAAAGTGGAATGGGTTCTGAGTTGTAGCTTCAGTGCTGTTACATTCTAAAAACTCAGCATTTCTCTTTGTGTGCACAGACACACACGCATGGTTTGTGTGTGGCAGTCCAAAGACAGCTTTCAGGAGTTGGTTCTCTCCTTCAAAGCACTGTGGGTTCTGGGAACCAAATTCAAGTCGTAAACTGGACAGCAAAGTGCAGTTACCTGCTGAGCCAGCTTACCATTCATCTACACATTGTTAAGAAAATTGTTCGGAGCAGAATGCAATTGCTGATTTAATACCCAGTTTTTCCCATTTTCAGAAAATAGAAGCACGAGTGTCTGCTGATGAGGACCTCAAACTTTCTGACCTTTTAAAGTACTACCTAAGAGAGTCTCAAGCTGCTAAGGTAACCACTCATTTCTTTTATTCTATTTTATTTTTAAATATTTTCATTTTATTAGTTTGAATTATATGTATGTGTGTCTATGTGGGTTGTGCACATGAACGCAGTGCTGGAGTTATTAAGCTGCTGTGCAGTCCAACATGGGCCTCTAACTCATATACATCCACCAGCCTTTGCCTCCCAAACGCTGGGATTAAAAGTGTGCACCACCAGGTTTAACCATTGTTCATTTCTTCAGAGATTATTGAGTTTAAGATGTTAAAGAATGCTGGGCATGGTGGTGCCAGCATGAGTTTGAGCCAGCATGAGTTTGAGCCAGCATGGTTTATATAATAACTTCTAGGCCACTTTGGGCTCCAGGGAAACCATGTCTCAAAAACACCAAAAAAAAAAAAAAAAAAAAAAAGACCGGAAAGTTTACATGTGGCTATTAAACTATATTTTCAAGCTGTGCATAATGGCACATGTCTGGAACTCTAGCAGTTAGTGGACTGAGACAGGAAGAATGATTTTGAGGCTTGTCTGGGCTACATAGTAAGACTCCACCTCAAAAAAACATTAATGTTATGAAAATATTTTTCTTTTTTATAGGTATTGTAGGATAGGGATCACTACGTAAAAGTTGCCTCTGCAAACTTATTTTTTAATTTTGGTGGTTTTGTTTGCTTGTTTTTGGAAGGGTGGGTTTCAGAGTCACTATGTAGACAAGGCTGGCCTGAAATTCACTATGCAGCCCAGGCTGGTTTTGAACTTGAGGCAGCCCTCCTGCTCTCCTTGAAATTGGTGGGAATGGCTAAACAGCTCTGTGCACATAGTAAAACCCCCAGCACCCACATGGTGGCTAACAGCTGTCTTTAATTCCAGTTCCAGGGAGTCCAACATCCTCTTCTAGCCTCCGTGGGCATTGCACACAGATGGTACACTTACATACATGCAGGCAAAACACTCATACACATAAAAAAAATTTAGTCAGATGTGTTGGTGCACAACTTTAATTGCAGCATTTGAGTGACAGAAGCAGGTGGAGCCCTGTGAGGGCCAGACCAGCTGGGGCCACAGGAAGACCCTGTCTCAAAAAGCCAAAGAAAAAAATTTAGAAGCCATGCTTTATAAAAGATGTTTAGAGGCTAGGAGCATAACTAGTGGAAAAGTGTGAGGCCCTGTGCTCAACCTGCAGAACAAAGCAGGAGAGTGTTAGGAGAGCCCTGGCATGTGGTTCTCACGTATGTGCTCACCTTGCTAGCAGTGGTGCTGTGGAACTGCTGGCAGGATGCAGCATGCACTGTGAACGTTGCTTTACAGGATCTCCTCTATAGAAGATCTAGGTCACTTGTGGACTATGAAAACGCCAATAAAGCACTGGACAAGGCAAGAGCGAAAAACAAAGATGTTCTGCAGGCTGAAACGTCCCAACAGTTATGTTGTCAGAAGTTTGAAAAAATATCAGAATCTGCAAAACAAGGTACTATTACTTTAGCCTTTCATCACAAGGCATGCTTAAGATAAGTACAGAATTCTAATCTTTTTGTTTTGTTTTTGTGTACAGAACTTATAGATTTTAAAACAAGAAGAGTTGCTGCATTCAGAAAAAATTTAGTGGAGCTTGCAGAATTAGAACTGAAGCATGCAAAGGTAATTCATCACAGATCTGACCATCTAATGACAGCTTAAAATTAAGACACTTTTTTTTGTTGGTCTCCCTGTAGCCCCAGCTGGCCTTGAGCTCGCTGTGTAGACCAGGCTGGCCTTGAACTCACAGAGATCTGCCCACCTCTGCTTCAGAGTGCTGGGATTAAAGGCTTGTGCCACCATGCCTGGCTAAAAGAGCACTTCTTGCTCTTGCAGAGGATCCAAGTTGGGTTCCTAGCACCTTTGTCAAGTGGCTCACAACCACTTATAACTTCAGCTCACGGGATCCACTGGCCTCCATGGGCACCTGCATGTGACATGGCATACAGAACGTACATACACAAATGAAAAAATAAATCTTTTTTGTATTTTTATTTTATTTATTTTCAGTCTTTTTGAGACAGGGTCTTCCTGTAGCCCCAGCTAGCCTGGATCTTGCTGTGTAGACCAGGCTGACCTTGAACTCACAGAGGTCCACTAGCCTCTGCCTCTGGAGTGCTGAGAAAGGCATCTGCCACCATGTCCAACTATTTCTATTTTTTTTCATGTGTATGAGTGTATTGCCTGCATGTATGTAAGTGTACCCATATCATGCAGTGCCCTCAGCAGTCAGAAGAGGACATCAGATCCCCTGGAACTCGGGTTATATATAGGTGGTTGTCAGCTGCCATGTGGGTGTTGGGGAATCTAACCCAGGTCCTTTGCAAGAGCAGCCAGTACTCTTAACCACTGAGCCCCCAAGAGATCCTATCTTTAAAAAAAAAAAAGGCTGGGGTGTTGTGCTAGGCAGAATACCTCCCCCACCCCCTTTTCTCATCCCCACTGTGACTCCCTGATCAGCTCTTGGGCAGAAGACTGAACTGAGTGGTCTGAGAGGCTGTCCAAAGCCGCAGGGAAGATGGAATATTCAGCATCGACATTGCCAGAAACACTGATTTATCCTTTGTTCTTAAGCTCTCAATTTGACTTCATATCTTATCTTGTGTGGACTTTCTTAGGGTTGATGTGTTGGCTGCAGAGATATTGGGTAGTTGCATAACTTGTCTACCTACGTACTGCTTCGTAATTGGTTATATAGTCTTATTTGGAATTAATACGATGAGTACCTCTCCATGAAACTCCATTCATACAGTCAGATAACTATACTAAAAATCAGAAGATGCCATCCCAGCACTAAGAGATAGTCCTATTACTGAAGTAAACAAATGTTCTTTACTTGTCAGGGGTGCGCTTTTTGAGACAAGGCCTCCCTGTAGCCCCAGCTGTCCTGGAACTCACTCTGTAGATCAGGCTGGCCTCACAGAGATCTGCCTGCCTCTGCCTCCTGAGCGCTAGGATTAAAGGCATGCACCACCATGCCCAGCTAAAATGTTCTTTCTTAAAGCCAAAGAATTTAACACCCCAAACTAACTGTGCAGAAACATCCCAAGACTAAATATTTGTAAGTTTGGGGCTGAATAATTTTGAACATGATTACATTGTCTTCTTAATATTTAAAACATGAAATGGAAGCTGATCTCTTAGATTGAGTTCAATTAATATTATTATGTTTTCAAGCTGAGTTTTTAAATGGACAAAATAAAATACCAAATTAAACTATTAAAAAAAAAGAATCCGGCTGGGAGAGATGACTCAGCAGTGAAGAGCACTGACTGCTCTTGGAGAGGACCTGGGTTGGGTTTCCAGCACCCATGTAGCAACTGACAACCATTTGTAACTCCAGTTCCAGCAGATCCAACGCCTTCTTCTGACCTCCATGGGCATTGTATGCACACATACAGGCAAAACTCATACACAAAATAAAAATAAAATAATTTTTTAAAATTTATTGTTTTTATTTTATGTGTATGCATGTATTGCGTGCCTGTAGGTAAGTGCTCCCATGTCATGTAATGCCCACGGAAGACAGAAGAGGCTGTCAGATCCTTTGGAACTGGAGTTACAGACAGCTGTTAGCTGCCGTGTGGGTGCAGACCTGGGATATAATCCCAGATCTTCTGCAAGAACAACCAGTGTTCTTAACTGCTGAGCCATCTCTCCAACCCAATTTTTTTTTTTTTTAAATCTACCAAATGTGGTGTGTACCTGTAATCCCAGCAAACGAACAAGAGGATTGCTGTGAGTGTAGGTCTGGGTTGCATAGTGAACTCTAGGCCAACATGGACTACAGTGTAAGACTTTATTCAAAACTACCAAAAAAGATTTTGTTTTAAAAACCTGACAAATATAAAAATAGGCTCAAAGTTATTTGTCAGAATTCTGATTTTTTTTTTTTTTTTTTGGTCTTTTTGAGACAGGGTCTCCCTGTAGCCCCAGCTGTCCTAGAACTCACTATGTAGACCAGGCTGGCCTTGAACTCACAGAAATCCACCTGCCTCTGTCTCCCAAGTGCTAAGGTTAAAGGCGTGCGCCCCCACACCCAGCCTTACAGAACATCTTAATCATCCCCGTTGGCCCCCCTCTCATAGCCCCCCACTGGAGTTCATACATTCTGCCATTTGGGTTAAGGACTATCACGTCAAGTTAGTGTCCCCAGATGTCCCTCAGTGCAAGTTCATCCACTGGAATCTAGGCAGCCTATCTAGAGTCCCTCCCTTTAAGAAGACCAGCTCTTCCTCACCCTGCAGTAATCAGCTGTCAGTAATTTGACTGAGATTGGGACCTGCTCTCCGTTTTCACAGTTCTGTGCTGGGTTTTTGCTTGATTTTGTATGGGTTATGTGTGTGCTGACACCATTGCTATAGGTGTGTATGAGCAAGGTTCCAGGAGCCTGTATGATCATGCACCTCCTCCCTGTCTCTTACAGTCTTTCTGCCCCCTCTTTCACAATGGTCCCTGAACCCTGGGTAGGTGGATTTTAGCATAGGTGTCTTGTGAAGGACCCACACTCTGTAGTCTCCTATTCTTTACATTTTGACAATTGTGTGACCTTTGTGTTCCTGGCCCTCTGTTGCATGAGGGAGCTTCATTGATGAGAACTGAAAGATGCACTAGTGTCCTCTTCATCCCTTGTTCTATGTTCCATGAACTTTAGGTGTAGAGCTTACATCGTAGATGTGCCACTTAGACTTGGACAGTTCACAGACAATCTCTGTTTGTGACCAGTTGTGGAACTCTGTAATAATCTCTTGTCTGTTGAAAAAATAAACTTCTGGGGCTGGAGAGATGGCTCGGCAGTTAAGAACACTCATTATTCTTGCAGAAGACCCGGGTTCAAATCCCAGCACCCACATGGCAGCTAACAACTGTCCATAACGCCAATCCCAGGGGATCCGACAGCCTTTTCTGACCTCTGCAGGCATTGCACGACACTGGTGCACTTACCTACATGCAGGCAATACGTGCATACACGTAAAATAAAAATAATAAAATTTAAATTTAAAAACAAAACAAAAAAACAAATTGTTAAAAAAAGAAAAAATAAACTTCTTTGATGAGTGTTGACTGGGATACTTGTCTGTAAATTTAAGGATCCATATTTTGCACATAGTAATAAATTGCATTTGTCTAGGGATGTGAGAGCCTTGGGGCTTTCTATAAGATCTATGTGTATTTGGCAGTACCACACATGAGTTTCCTCCCACTGAGTGGGCTTTAAGTCCAATAAGGTAGCTGTTGATTACCCCCAAGATAAAAGTGCCACTGCTGCACCAGTGTCCTTTGCTGTGCCTGTCATTGATGTGGTTTTTAGGCCTTGAAGCTGGGGTTGGACCATCACTCGGTGTTCTCCCTTAGCAGCTTGCGTAGTGTTCTTCAAAGCTAGGAGAGCTGCCTTTAGGGGAGATGGCTTCCAGGTCAGTTCCAGCTCCATTGCTCCAAATCCTGTCTGAAGTTATTTCCTGTCTTCAGCAATAGGGTCTTACCTTCAAGTACTGGGAGACAATCAAGTGCTGTGGCATTAGTCTGTGTAATTTGGGGAGTCTCCTGGACCACCCTGGCCAACAACTCAAAAGGAAGATTTCTCCTTTCTGGCACTGTTTCTTGTTATGTAGCCTTAACTGTACACATGGGCTCATATAGAGATGCTGTATGTGTGATTTGTTAGGAGGTTTTTGGACTAATAGGATTCCCTCTGGGTTTTTTTAATATTAGCTAGATACTATTTAAATACTATTTATACTAGATACTCTTTATCTCTCCTTTCTCTCTCCCTGTCTAACCCTTTCTTCATACCCTCCCCATTTAAAGTATCCCCATTTTCCCCATTTCTCCCTTGATAATTCCTGCCTGCTATGGTCCCACCTCTCTTGAGTTCCTTCTTCCCCTTTATCCCCATAGTTCCCTATATAGCCCTCCCTCTTCCCCTCCTATTTGAATTTCCCCTTTTTTAAAAAACTTTTCTATTTATGTGTATGTGCATGTGTGTGTAGGTGCTACAGAGGCCAGAAGAGGGTGTTGGAGCTCCTGGAGCTGGAGTTACAGGTAGTTGTGAGCCACGTTATGTAGGTGCTGGGATCCGAGCTCCAGGCCTTTGCAGAGCAAGTGCTCTTAACCAAGTCCTCTCTCCAACACCCAGACATCCTGACTATTGACCCACATTCTGGAAGTGTGCAGGCTACCCTGGTTGCTTTATTCTTTCTCTGTGTCTCTTCCTGTCCTCTAATTGCTGTCTTTCTGCGCACACACACACACACACACACTTGAGTGCACATCTTTTTCTTGACTCATTTGAATGTAAGTTGCTGATACCGTGTCTTTTTTTCTTGTGAACATTCCTATGTGGAGCTTCCTAAAACCAAGTACTTCTTTTCCATAACTATGAAGGTCACTACTGTTTCAATTCTATCCTCTAATCTTCAGACCTTACGCACATTCCACTGGTGGTCTCAATAGTTGTCTTAATGGCAAAGGTTAATGGTGTGTCTTCAGAGCATGTGAAAGTTCCTGAATCTTTGACTTTCATCACATATTGTCTACTACTTATTTGTTGGTTGGTCCTGGGGATTGATTGAACCTCCAGCCTTACATATGGGAAGCATATGCTTTACCATTGAGCTACACTCCGAGCCTCAACTCCAGCTCGCTATGTAGACCAGGCTGACCTTGAACTCACAGAGATCTGCCTGCCTCTGCCCCGTAAGTACTGGTATTGAAGATGTGTGCCAGCAGCCGGGCGTGGTGACGCATGCCTTTAACCCCCAGCACTCAGGAGGCAGAGGCTGGCGGATCTCTGTAAGTTCAAGGCCAGCCTGGTCTACATAGGGCCAGCTGCCAGCAGGGGATACTGGGAAACCATGTCTCAAAAAGACCAAAAAAAAAAAAAGATGTGTGCCACCATGCCTGGCCCAACATTGATATTTTTTAAGAGTAACAGGTTCTGTAAGCACCACTGTCTAGTATGGTAGCTATTGGCCCCAGACCGCTATTAACTTCTGAAATGTATGTACAAATTTTTACTATATTTAATATGTTTGTGTGTGTCTGTCTCTGGGTGTGAGCACATGAGTGCAAGTGCCTGCAGAAGCCAGAGGCATCAGATTCCCCAGGAAATGGAGCCACCAGTGTGAGTGCTGGGAACTGGACTCGGGTCCTTGGACAAACAGTACATGCTCTTAACTACTGAGCCATTTCCCTAGCCCAGATTTTATTCCATTATTTTATTTTGTTTGTGTGTCACACTTATGGAAATCAGAGAACAACATGTGGGAGTCGACAGTCTACCTCTACCATGTGAATTTCAGAAACTGAACTTAGGTCGTCAGATTTGGTAGCAGGCAACATCATCCGCTGAGCTGTCTCACCAGCCCCATACTGTTTTTAAAATATTTTATTTATTATTTTTATTTTATGTGTATGCATGTATTGCCTGCATGCAGGTAAATGCACCCGTGTCGTGCAGTGCCCGCAGAGGACAGGAGAGGCTATCGGATCCCCTGGAACTGGAGTTATGGACAGTTGTTAGCTGCCATGTGGGTGCTGGGATTCGAACCCCGGGTCTTCTGCAAGAACAACCAGTGTTCTTGCCCAAGCTGAGCCATCTTTCCAGCCCATACTGATTTTAATATTCATTGTTTTGTTGTTGTACTCCTGTACATGTGGGCAACCCTAAATGGACTCAGTAAGTTTTTTATTTATGTATACATTTTTGAAAGAAATTAATAAAGACTGATTGATAAAACATGGAAATAAACAGGGTTTCTTCCCTCAATAGGTAAATGGATAAATTATGATACATTCATACAATGGAATATTATTTAGTGATTAAACAAAAAATCAAGTCCCAATAAAGCATAGAAGATGATTCTTGCTTGAATCACTATGATGGCTGTGCAGTGCTGATCTCCATTTGTCTTTGTGGAGCTGGACATCAGTTCCAGGTCTCTGTGCTACACGAGTGCTTCACCACTGACTGAGCTGCACCCCTAGCCTCAGATGTGAATTTTCTAATTCCTCTTTTTTTCCCTTTCTTGAAGACAAGGTCTCCCTTTGTAACCCAGGCCAATCTGGAACTAACCATGTTACCAGGCTTGCTTTGAACTCACCATGTCCTCCTCTCTCAGCTGCCTAAGTGCTGGGATTACTGGCGCGCACCTCTGGGCCCAGCTCCATCATTCTTTAACATATTTTACTTCAGACTATAAGGAAGAGCTGCCACCTGAGCATAATGGCATATGCCTGTAATCCCAGCACTTAGGAGGCAGTGAGATGAAAGCCAGCCTGGTCTACATGGTGAGTTCCCAGGCCAGCTCGGGCAATAGGGAGACCCCCATCTCAAGAAACAACAAAATAATAAGATTTTAAAAAAAAAAAAAAAAATGAAAAGAGTGTTGGAAAAAATTGACTCTTGAAAGTTTATCCTCTGACTTCACCTGCACTCTAGTAGTGCACACATGCCTGCACTCATGTGCACTGAGAGACTCACACGGTTATTTTTAAGAAAGGAAAAGCTTTCCATTCATAATTAATACATCCTAATTATATTTGTCTTTATAAAGCCTATCTCTAAATTTCGATGCAGATTGACATCTACAAATGGCTCTGTGTGTGTGAATTTTACAGAATACTATGTGTAATGTTGATACTTTTATTTTAAAAATACTAGTTTCAAGCCAGGCATGGTGGCGCACACCTTTAATCCCAGCACTTGGGAGGCAGTAGGCGGGTCTCTGTGAGTTCAAGGTCAGCCTTGTCTACATAGTGAGGTCCAGGACAGTTGGGGCCACAGGGAGACCCTGTCTCAAAAAGACCAAAAAAAAAAAAGTTCTAGTTTTAGCCAGGCATGGTGGTGCACGCCTTTAAGCACAACACTTAGGAGGCAGAGGCAGGTAGATCTCTGAGTTCCAGGCCAGCCTAGTCTACATAGAGAGTTCTAGACCACCTGAGGCTACAGGGAGACCATCTCAAACAAACAAAGGAGCTGGAGAGATGGCTCAGTGGTTAAGAACACTGGTTGCTCTTGCAGACCTGGGTTCGAATCCTAGCACCCACATGGCAGCTAACAACCATCAGTAACTCCAGTCCTAGGGAATCTGACAGCCTCTTCGTCCTCTGCGGGCATTGCACAACACAGTTTCCACGACATGGGTTCACTTGCCTACATGCAGGCATAACAGTCAAACACATAAATAAAAATAATTAAAACAAACATAAATTAGTTTAATGACCTGTTATACAATCAAAAATTAAGTTCACTTATTAAACTTGGCCACAAAAGTCATATTTTATCAGAATGTCAAATCTAAACCATTAGTAGGTCTAGATAGAAATTTATTTACTGAACAATCTTAATTGTGTCTTTAAACCTTAATTGAACTATTTCTTTTTTTTTTTTTTTTTTTTGGTGTTATTTGAAACAGGGTCTCCCAGTAGCCCCTGCTGGACTGGAACTCACTATGTAGACCAGGCTGGCCTGGAACTCACAGAGATCCGCCTGCCTCTGCTTCCCAAGTGCTGAGATTAAAGGCGTGTGCCACCATGCCCAGCCTACCTCTTTTTTTTGTTGTTCCTTTGGGGGTTTTGTTTTTTTAATATTTTATTATTTTTATTTTATGTGTATGAGTGTATTGCCTGCATTGTGTGTCAGTGCACCCGTGTCATGTAGTGTCTGTGGAGGTCAGAAGAGGGCGTTGGATCCCCTGGAACTGGAGTTACAGACAGTTGTTAGCGGCCATGTAGATGCTGGGATATGAACCTGGGTCTTCTGCAAGAGCAGTCAGTGCTCTTAGCCACTGAGCCATCTCTCCAGCCCCCTTGTTTTTGTTTTTTAAAACAGAATCTCCCTGTAGTCCACGATGGCCTAGAACTTGGTATGTAGACCAAGCTGGCCTGGATCTCTCAGAGATCGCCTGCCTCCCAATGCTGAGATTAAAAGTGTATGCCACCATGACACCTGCGTGTGTGTGTGTGTGTGTGTGTGTGTGTAAAGACTTGAGATTAAGTTTAGGGCTTTGCATATTCTAGGCAGTCACTATACCCCTGAGCTACACAACTAGTTGGGTTTTTTTTAAAGATTTTTTTTACTTTATGTGAGTGTTTTGCCCACATGTGTGTAAGTGTACTTGTGTTTTACAATGTCAAACAAAAGAGGGTGTCGGATCCCCCGGAGTTGAAATAATGGACAGTTGTTAGCCACTGTGTGGTGCTGGGAACCAAACCTGGGTCCGCTGTAAGAGCAGCCAGTTAGCTTAACCACTGAGCCATCTCTCCAGCCCCCAGGTGTTCATTTTTTGTTTTATGAAAAGGGTCACTAAGTTCCCAGGTAGACCTTACATTAAAATCCTCCTGCTTCAGCCTCCCAAGTAGCTGGAACTGACAGGCCTGTACCTCTAGGCCCAGGTAATAGTATATATTTGCAGTAAGATTCCTTGAAGCTCCTTGAATAAAGAAATTCATAGTTTATTTTTCTTCCTTTTTAGGGTAACCTCCAGTTGCTGCAGAACTGCCTTGCAGTTTTAAATGGAG